TTGCTCATGCCTGCCGATCGATCGCTCCTGCACCCCCCTCTGCAATCACGAGCCCTCGCTCGCCCGGTGCTGGATCGAGGCAACAGCAATTGAGCTTATTTTTTTTTAATAATTATTTTTTTAATATCTTTTTAAAAAATAACTTATTATATGAAGGGTACGTGATATCTGAGTGTGCTTGAGGAGCAATCGAGGGCAGAGTGATGGATCAAGGCAGGAGCAATGGAGCTTTTTTTTTCTTTTATATAACTTTATTTTATTTTATTTTATTTATTTTTAATAACTTATTATATGAGGGGCATTTGAGATCTGGGTGTGTCAGAGTGTGCCTGAGGAGAAATCGAGCGCAGAGTGATGGATGGAGGGAGAAGCAATTGAGCTTCTTTTTCTATATTTACAACTTTTTTCTTTCTTTTTTTCTTTTTTTTCCTTTTTTTTTCCTTTTTTAAAAATAATTTATTTTAAGAGGGGCATTTGATATCTGGCTGTGCCTGAGTGTGTGTGAGTCCTGTCCCACCGGGATGGATCCAATCCTGTCCCAGCCATTCCCTCGCTGCTTTTGTCCCCTCCAGACCCGCAGGATTTGGGCTCAGCACAGAATTCCCAGAATGGAGCCCCGAAAAGAACATTTCCCACGGGAAAATGAAAAGGGGGAAACACCAGAGCCGGAGGTGATGCTGTGCCCTTGGACAATTCACCTTGGAGCCAACAAGAGTTACAGAATTCCTGGTGTCTCCTGTGCCCTGGAGCTTCTGTCAGCACCCAAATCCCAAATCCCAAATCCCAAATCCCACAGCTCCTCCTGCTTTATCAGGGATTGATGCACCCAAATCCCACAGCACCTTTTACTTTACAGGGAATGATGCACCCAAATCCCGCATCACCTTTTACTTTACAGGGAATGATGCACCTAAATCCCAAATCCCACAGCACTTTTATCAGGGATTGATGCACCCAAATCCCTCATCCCACGGCACCTTTTACTTTCTCAGGTATTGATGCTCCCAAATCCCAAATCCCACAGCTCCTCCTGCTTTCCCATGGAATGATGCACCCAAATCCCAGAGCACCTTTTGCATTCACAGGGAATGATGCACCCAAATCCCACATCCCACAGCTCCTCCTGCTTTCCCAGGGAAGGATGCACCCAAATCCCAAATCCCTCATCCCACAGCAGCTTTATCAGGGAATGATGCACCCAAATCCCAGAGCACCTTTTACTTTACAGGGATTGATGCACCCAAATCCCTCATCCCACAGCTCCTCCTGTTTTCCCAGGAATTGATGCACCCAAACCCCAGAGCACCTTTTGCATTCACAGGGAATGATGCACCCAAATCCCACAGCACCTTTATCAGGGAATGATGCACCCAAATCCCAAATCCCACAGCTCCTCCTGCTTTCCCAGGGAATGATGCTCCCAAATCCCCGCCAGCCTCCAGCCTCTGACGGGCATCGGCGGCTCCCAGTGAGCGCAGCGAGCAGAGGCTGTGCCCAGCCCTGGCAGAGATTCGGAGCCCGGAGCCAATGGGAGCGGGGCTGGCACAGGGGGGGATGCTCTGGGCTCCTTTTTCTCTCTCTCCTCCCTCCTCCAGACCCCCCTCGCCTCCCTCTCACACAAAAGCTGGGAATTCGCTGACTTAGGCTCAGCGAGCTGCGGGAGGAAAATAAAAATAAAATATCTTAGGAGGGAGGGAGGGAGGTCATGGAGGAGCAGAAATAACCTCAATCCGTCCCTGTCTGCCCCGAGAAAACCGCAAAAGCTGCGGCTGCTGCGGGCGAGGCCGACCTGGATGCAGCCCCACGCTCCTCCATCCGCATCCCGGTCCAGGGGCTGCACCTGCTGAGCCGCATCCATCGGGAGGAGGAAGAGGAGGAGGAGGAGGAGGAGGAAGAGGAGGAATGCCGAGCTGGGATCGAGGCAGGGTCGCCTTTGTTCCCCGCTGAGCAGCAGCAGCGGTGAGTGCGGCTCTGGGTGCTGCGGGATCGGGGATTTGGGGGCATCGCTCCCTGATAAAGGAGCAGCGGATCCAGCCGGGATTTGCTCCGTTGTTCTTCTCCTTTTCTTCTCCCTCCATGACGCGGCCGGGGCTGGCAGGGAGCAGCTGCCAGAGGCAGGGAATGGGGGGAGGAAAGGTTGGATTTTCCAGAGATTTGAGGGGTCTGGTGTAGGGAAGGCAGGAATGGAGCCAGACCTCGCTGAGCCGCGGGGCTGGGACCATCCGGGAACGACAAACCTGGGAGTGAAAAACCTGGGAGTGAAAAACCTGGGAATGGCAAACCTGGGAGTGAAAAACCTGGGCATGGCAAACCTGGGCATGGCAAACCTGGGCATGGCAAACCTGGGAATGACAAACCTGGGAATGACAAACCTGGGAGTGACAATCCCAGGAGTGACAATCCTGGGAATGATAAACCTGAGAATCACAATCCTGGGCATGGCAAATCTGGGAATGACAATCCTGGAAATGACAAACCTGGGAATGACAATCCTGAGAATCACAATCCTGGGCATGACAATCCCGGGAGTGACAATCCTGGAAATGACAAACCTGGGAATGATAATCCTGGGAGTGACAATCCTGGGAATGGCAGCAGGGAGGGAGGGAGGGAGGGAGGGACCCTGCAGTGCTGGCAGTGAGCTCTGCTGATCCCAGCCTGGAACGCTCAGGGATTCTGGATTCGTTCAGCTTCATCCCTTTAAAGCAAACACAGCCGGATTTATCTCCTCCAGATCATCCCAGCCTCCACAGGCAGCAGGAGAAGCTCTGGGAGGAGCTGCCATGGGGACACAGCAGCCCCAGAACCACCCAAACCCCTCATCCTAAAAAAAAAAAATATATATATATATATTCCTAAATGTTCCTACCCAGCCAGTGGCTGGAACAATCCCCAGTTTCAGGATCCTGGATGCCAGGAATGTTCCTGCATGCTGGGCCCGGCACAGGAGCTGATTCCACCTGAGGATGCTCCAGAGCAGATCAGGCCTGACTTTGTTCCCTCGGGGCTGGGAATGGGGTGTCTGCTCTCCCTGACCAGCCAGGATTGGTCCTGAGTGCTGAGCTGGGCTTTGCTGGGAGCTGCAGGCCCAAGGAATTGGGTAAAAAAAGATTGAATTTCTCTGTCTGGCAAAAAAAAAAATTAAAATTGGACATATATAAAAAATTATATCTATATATTTTTAAATATATGGTTCTAAGGGCCTCTGGGGTTCAGTGTGGGTGAAATCCAGGATTGCTGGGTCTGAACTCATTCCCAAAGTGCAGGGGAAAGGCCAGACTGGGAACACACCCCCAGGCTGAGCTGCTCCAGGGTTTTGGAGCCTGGTTTGGATTACCTGGAGTGGGGGTGTGGAATCAATCCCTGTGAGGCCTCCTCAGGAATCTCTGCAGAACCAAGGCTGGGAATTTCCATCCAGTCCAGGAATGTGGGATCTGGGAATCAGGGATTTATCAGGAGATTGGGATTGCAGGAGGAGCAGGAAGGGAAAAACGAGTGGACACAATTTCTGCTCCCTAGGGACATGAGCTGGGATCCAAACAGACCCCAGGGCCAATCTCACCTCCTCCCTCTGGTCCCAAATGTGTCAAGCAGCTCCAAAATCCCGAATTTTGTTGCTTTTTCCCCAGACAAGCAGCACTCACCCTGCTTGGCACCTGTGGGGCTGCTCCCAGCTCGGGGTGCTCCGTGCCAACCTCTCTGCCTCCCCTTTCCAGCCTGAGCCATTCCTGGAGGGATCTGCTGGCTCCAGCCCCTCCCTGGGAGCCATGGGGACCACGGAGGCCACGCTGAGGATGGAAAATGTGGATGTGAAAGAAGAATGGCAAGACGAGGACTTCCCCAGGTGCGTTCCCCCCCCAAAAAAAAAACAAACCAAAAAGAAAAACCAGGAGAATTCTAAATTTTTTTAAAATTCCTGTGAGAAACCATCAGGGTGTGCAGTGGGAGGGTCCTTCCCACAGACACAACAGGAGCCTGAGCTCCAACAGGAGTTCAGAATTTTTGGAGCTGCTCTGAGTGTGTCAAAAATGTTGGGGTGCCTTTGGCAGCCCTGTGTGGGCAGGGGAAGGAGGGAAAGGAGCTGGGTGTGGAGCACAGGGAGGCCAGGATGGGTACAGGGATACACAGAGGGATGGAGGCTGGATGGATCCATGTGGGAGTGGATTTCTGGATTTCTGGATTCATGGACTCCTTCCCAGGCTCTGAATCAAGCAGAGCCTTCCCAACCAGAGCAGCTCTGCTGTGCCAGGAATTTGCCATTGGGATGCAAAGAACCCAAACGGGTGCCAACCTGGTGGGAAAGGAGGTGTGGGGGTGACAGGAGGTGCCCAAATGTCACCTCCCACCTTCACATCCACTCCAGCAGCTGCACGGAGGTGCCAAAACCCTGAATTCCCAGCCCCCACCCCCCCCCATTCCCAGCATTGTTCCCCTTCCAGGCTGCTCAGGGTGGGTTTGGATTCTCCCTTTGCCTCTCTGGGGACATCCCAAACTCACCTGGGCACATCCCAAACCCACCTGGGCACATCCCAAACCCACCTGGGCACATCCCTGCTCCAGGTGACCCTGCCTGGTTTGGATTCTCCCTCTCTGGGCACATCCCAAACCCACCTGGGCACATCCCTGCTCCAGGTGACCCTGCCTGGGCACGGCGGGATCTCCACCCGTCCCTTCCAGCCCTGCCAATTCTGGGATGAATTTCTGAGCCCTGCTGGAGCAGCTGCAGGTGCCCGGGGGCTCTCAGGGCTGTCCTAGCCCCCTCCAGCTGCAGCCCACAGAGCATCCCAGTATTCCCAGCCCTGGAGAAAGGGGCTCCTGTTCCCCTGGGCTGAGCCTGGCTCTGTTCATCCCAGCTCCAGCTGCAGCCCTGTGTGAGCCCCTCTGTGCTGCATCCCACAGCACTGGGTTTGTCCTTCCCTGGCGTTCTCAGGCTGGATTTTATTTTATTTATTTTTTTATTTCTGAGAGCAGAGCTGCTGGATCTCTGCCAGCCTCAGGCTCCCCCCTGGTTTTTAATGGAGTAAAAGGAGAGAGGAGTGAAGAAAAGGAAGGGATGGATGGGAATTGTGGGAGAGACCTTAAAACTCATCTCCTTTCCAAGAGTAGAGACTCCTTCCACCAGATCAGGCTGCTGAGAGAAAATAGACAGGAAATCGAGGTGTAGAAAAGGAAAATATTGTCCCAGAACTCCCTGGAAAATCCGGGATAAAGCTGGTCTGGCTCCGGGACGCCTCGGCACCAACCCGAGCATCCCCTGGGAGCTCTGTCCCAGCAAACTCCGCCCAGGCACGGCCAAGCCTTCCAGGGAAATCTCTCCTGGAAAAGCCCCCAGCACCCCCAAACCCCAGAAAACGCCTCGGAAATGAAATCTGGGAAGAGGCAAAGGGATGTGAGCGGGGCCGGGACGAGGCTGGAGCCCTCCCCAGCCTCCTCCAGAGGGATTCGAGCAGGAACGATGCGAGACAGAGCCCAAAGAGCCCCCAGGCGAACGAGGGAAAGCCAGCTGGGTTCTACTCGCAATAAAAATAAAGAAATTGTCCTTTTCCAGCCGCTTCCCCGCTGGAAGCGTTGGAATAATAGGGCAGAGGCTGCTGCATGTGGGACAGCAGCTCTCCAGCAGCTGATTTGCTGCAGAGCTATTTTTGCCTGCCTGCCATTAGCCAATCTTGCCCCGAAAAGCAGGGGAAGAAAAAAAAAAAAAAAAATGGAAAAGCCACATCCTAGACAGAGATCTGGGCCGGGAAAACAGAACCCAGCCGCTCCTTGAGGACACGGGACGACATTCCCGGGTTTTCCTGGGAAGAGGAAACGCGGGAGCAGCTCCGGCCTGGCCGAGGGGGAACCGAGCGGGGGGAACCGAGCGGGGGGAACCGATTCCCCGGGGCTCAGCCCTGCCCGGCTCTGATCTCGGGCCCGGCTCGGCCGGCCCGGGGCGGGGATGCCGTAACCGAGGAGCGGGCGGCGCGGAGCGGGAGCATGCTCACTCCTGCATCCATCCCTGCATCCATTCCTGCATCCATCCCTGCATCCATCGCTGCATTCATCCCTGCATTTATCGTTGCGTCCATTCCTGCATTTATCGTTGCGTCCATTCCTGCGTCCATTTCTGCATCCATCGCTGCATTCATCCCTGCATTTATCGCTGCATCCATCCCTGAGTCCATCCCTGCATTTATCGTTGCATCCATCCCCGCATCCATTTCTGCATCCCTCCCTCCATCCATCCCCTCATCCCTCCGTGCCCGCCCCATCCCTGCGAGCCGGGGCTGGCCCGGGACGAGCCCGGAGCAAAGCGGAGCCCCCCGAACTCAGGAGAATCTCTGAGCCCCCCCCCGAGTCGGCTCGGGAGGATTCCCGAGGGCGGCAGCAGCCTCGGGGCAGGTAAGGAAAGGATTTTCTTCACTCCCTGCCTGTGCTCAGATGGATCCCGGGCTGCCCCCCTTCCCCTCCCCTCCCCATTTTGATGCTGTGTCACCAAATCGTGCCAGGCTCGGATAAACAACGCGCGGGGACAGCGACAGGAGCAGCTGCAGGGGCGCGGGGATTTTTTTCCCCCCGGGGTCCCGGTGCTGCCCAAGGCGCCTTTGATCGGGTCCTGAGCTCTCATCAATATGCAATGACCGGCAGCAGAGGATTATCCCTTAATCTACATATTTATAGGGTTTAATTTGGCTGGCGGCAGCGGTGTCACGACAGCAGGAAGAGGAGCGGGCTGGATCCTGTCTGTCCCCGTTGTCACCTCCCTTCCTGTGTGGCTCCTCACCCCTAAAATCCCCGAATTTCTCCCAGTTCCGGTTTTCCATTTGGTCCCCGTTGTCACCTCCCTTCCTGTGTGGCTCCTCACCCCTAAAATCCCCGAATTTCTCCCAGTTCCGGTTTTCCATTTGTAAAATCCAAATCCAGGAGGATTTTTACAGCTCCTGCCTGGGCAGGGAGAGCTGCCAGGCGTCTGAAGCACAGATTTGACAACGTGAGCTTGTAGAGTTGGTGGGACTTGGTCAAAAAATGACAAACACAGAATAATTCCAGGAGACAGAACCAGCCCCAGCAAGAATTAAAGGGAAAAGCACCCGGGAATGTCCAGGGTGGGCAGTGGACGGTCAGGCTCAGCCACATAAAAGGTTCCTCTCCATAATTCAGACCCAAATTCCCACTTCACTCACCCCAGTGCGGGTCAGAGCAGCTCCTGCAGCCCCCAGAGGGTGACAGCCACGCCCCGTGGATTGATTTCAGCCGGGAAAACTTTTAAATCCATTGATGCCTCCAGCTGGAGGGGCTTTGAGGTGATTTGAACCAGGAGGATGCAGGAGCTGAGCTGAGAGGCTGCAAATCCCAGGAAAGGAGTGGGGGGGGATCAGCCCCTGGCTCCAAAATAGGGGTTGGAGTGCTGGTGGCTGGATTTGAGCAAGGAATGAACCCGATCCCAAACCTCAGCAGGGGCTGGGAGTCACCCAGTGGGGCCTGAGGTGAGGGCTCAGAGTTCCTACAGAGAAAAAATGAGGATAATATGGAGAAGGAGAACTTTGCCGAGCTCATCTGGGGTCAGGATTTGCTCCCTGGCTGGATTTTTCATCCCTTTGGGATAATTTGCAGGTTAGTGAGGATTGCACAGATCCTGGGCAGATTCCCTGTGGGAATCCCAGGATGGGCTCACTGGGAAAAGGCAAAGGGCAGATCTCGGGTTGGGGTGGAGTTTTTTCCCTGCTGTCTCCGTTCTCTGGGAATGACTTCACCCTAAACATCCCCCGTGTGTTTTCCCGTGTCCTGCAGGCCTCTCCCAGAAGAGACAGGGATGGAGTCACTGGGAAGCCCCACGGAAGATGAGACCACGTCCTGTAAGTACCAACCTTCCCCAGAGCCTGCAGGAAAATGAGGAAAAAAGGAGGGAGAAAGCCTTGGATCGCCCACAACAAAAAAATCCCCCCCAAAAAAATTCCCACCAAAAAAAAAAAAAAAAATGGGAGAAGAAACCAGCAGGGATTCGGAATTGTTCACCTTTCCTGAGAAGCTGGAGGAGGAAATTGGGATCTCAGGGATTTGGGCATTTCCATCCCAGTGCCTCCCAGTCGTGACCCACCCCCCTGGGGGTTCCAGGTCCATATTCCCAGGGTGGAATTATCCATGATGATGTCTTGCTCTGTGGATCCCTGTCAGTTTTTTTTTTGTTTTTTTTTTTTCCTTTGATCTCCAGCTCCTCCCAACACGTTGAATTTTAACGGGGCCCATCGGAAGAGGAAGACTCTTGTTGCACCCGAAATCAACATTTCCCTGGACCAGAGCGAGGGCTCCATCCTCTCTGACGACTTCCTGGACACTCCCGATGATCTGGACATCAATGTGGACGATATTGAAACTCCTGACGAGACAGATTCCCTGGAATTCCTGGGGAATGGGAACGAACTGGAATGGGAAGGTGAAAGGCTGGCTCTGGGTGAACATTTCCAGGGGTTGGGGTGGTTTTTAGCCTCATTTTAAAGGCTAAAATGAGCAGCTGATGGTTGATAAGCAGAGGGAGGTTTTAAAGCCGTTTCTATAATATTTGGGTGAGGTTTAAACCCATAAATTCACACGGATCAAGGCTGGAGGTGAAACACGATCAGAGCATCGCCAAAGCTCTTCTCGCATTCAAGGCAGAACTCTTTGTCCCTTTCCCAGATGACACCCCCGTGGCCACGGCCAAGAACATGCCCGGGGACAGCGCAGACCTGTTTGGGGACGGGGCCACCGAGGATGGCAGTGCCACCAACGGGCGGCTCTGGAGAACCGTCATCATCGGCGAGCAGGAGCACAGGATCGACCTGCAGATGATCAAACCCTACATGAGGGTGGTGACACACGGAGGTGAGCCTGGGGACACCCCCCAGCCCGGCTCCCTCATTCCCCTGATTAGGGAAAAAAAAAAAATCTCTGTTTGTTTGGTGTCTCTGCGTGGAGGAGAAGCACAAATGTGCTCAGATGGTGCTGGAAATATTTAGTGATTGTGGAATTAACAGGCTGGAGGGACTGTAGCAGTCCCTGAGGTGCTCCAGGGTCTCCACACATGTGCAGTCAGATCTATTTCCAAAGCCCAAGCAAAGCCAAGGAACAACCCAGCTTTAAAACCCCGAATTTGAGATTCCTTCTCTGAACCCCAAATCCACATTACAGCCCAAACCAGGAGGAAATCTCACAGGGAGAGAGGTCTGAAGAGAGAAACGTTCACCTGGAGCTGAGCAGAGACACAAAACCCACCCCAGGAGGAAACTCCAGTGCAGATTTCCCCTCAGCTCCCACATCTTTCCCTGGAAAATGTTCCCTGTGTTTCTTTGCCAGGATATTATGGAGAAGGTCTCAATGCCATCATCGTGTTTGCTGCCTGCTACCTCCCGGACAGCAACCTGGCTGATTATCACTACATCATGGAAAATCTCTTCCTGTGAGTGCCTGGAGGGGGGGGACAGCAGGGTGAGGGAAACGACACAACAGCTTCTCTGTGTTCCTGGTGTCAGCAATGGCAGCTGGCAGCAGGCCTGGATCCCAGCCCAGCACTCCCAGTGTGCAGCTGCACTGGTGGGGCTCCAGCTCCCAGTCCAACAAGCTCAAACATTCCAATATATTGCAGTTAATGATGTGAGGATGGACTCCCAGCCGGGCTGGAGCGTGGCTGGGACATTCCTGCAGCTGGGCAGGGAATGGAACTGGGGTGTCCAAACTGGGACACCCCAGGAGAACAAACCTGCTCCAGGACCTGCAAGGAAGGTCTGGAGCTGTTTGAGGGTGACATAAGGGTGTCACTGGTGGGGGTTTTTGGGGTTTCTTTGGGATTTTTGAGGTTGCTCCTGCAGCTCTCAGTGATGGAGCAAATTCCCCAAGCCTTGCCCAGATGGAATTTTGGCTCGTGGGGAGCTCTCAGACCAGCGAGGTAGAGACCAGCACATGCAGAAAGGCACAAACCCATGGTTTATTCTATGAAGGCTTCCTGTCTGCACATACCCACGGCTGTTGTTTTACAGGGGTTTTATATCTTTGGAGGGTTTGACAGTTTGCACCAATTACCAAGGGAATTCTACTTTGTAACCAATCCCTGAGGGATTTTACATTCAAAGCTGGCCTATGGATACTAAAAGAGAATGAACCACTAATATTGAATAAGATAATAATATAAGAGGGTCTAACAACGGGGGGAAGCTAAATTCCTTTTGTATTTGTCATTTCACAGCCATTCCTTATCTTTAAGCTATGATTTTCCAAGGGGCTTGTTCTGAGGGTGCAGGGAGACTTTATTGAATTTCTGCTCCCTTCACACAAGGGCACTTGAAGAAATGTTAAAAGGATGTTTTTGGAGTCTCATTTGGGTCCTTTCTGCTCACCCCCTGGCAGGTACGTGATCAGCAGCCTGGAGCTGCTGGTGGCTGAGGATTACATGATCGTGTACCTGAACGGGGCCACGCCCCGCAGGAGGATGCCAGGCCTGGGCTGGCTCAAGAAATGCTACCAGATGATCGACAGAAGGTGAGGACCAATCCTGGTGCTGGGATCACCGTCCCCATCCTAGAATTGAAAGGAAAATCAGATGCTGTTCAACAGGAGTGAGCCTGACCCTCCTCCCACATCCCTTACACCCACCAGGTGCCAGGAGGAACCTCAAAAACCAGGCAGGGCAGGGATGTTTCCACTATTCCAGGTTATTCCGAGCCCTGTCCAACCTGGCCTTGGAATATTTTGGTTTATAAAGATATTTCCAGATATATCCTGCTGAGGGATTTTACCTGGCCACACCACACCTGTCAGATCCCAGCCCAGCACGGGGGAGTTTAGGAAATGTGTCACTCTGGGAATGTGACACTGTCCCCTGACTCGTCCCCAGGCTGAGGAAGAACCTCAAGGCCCTGATCATTGTCCACCCATCGTGGTTCATCCGGACCGTGCTGGCCATCTCCAGACCCTTCATCAGGTGAGCACAACGTCCCCACACACCCAGCAGGCTCTGCAGTGCACGTTTGGAATCACAGAGTTGTGGGAAATCCTCAGTTTGGAGGGATCCACTGGGATCACCTCGTGTGACCCCTGACACCCCAATAATCCCAGCCTGTCCCAGAGCATTGTCCAAATTCTCCTGGAGCTCTGGCAGGGTTGGGAATGTGCCCATTGCAGGGAGCCTGGGCACTGCCCAGCACCCTCAGGGGGAAAAATCCTTTCCCTGATGCCCATCCCAACCCCCTGGCATGGCCCCTGTGCACACACACATTGACAGAGCTGGGGAATTCCAGCTTGGGAATTCTCTCCAGGCCTGGATTTCTCCTGACTCTCAGCTCCATTCCCAGGCTGACAAGCTGACTGCAGCTTCAGTTAGGGAGGAGTCTCCCAGGGTGACAACACGGTGACAAACAGAGTGGAATTCATCACCAACATT